TAAATATCTTGAATGTTCTCATTTCACAAAGATCTGACATTAGAACCCTTCGGAATATTATAACTTATGGAATATACATTCTTTCTACATCGTGCAACTTTCTCTGCTACTAACATCTTTGCCCTGAGCCCACACTTCAACCTTTCGCTGGGAAGCATGATACTTTTCAATAGATGTTGAGAATGCAGAACTTGGATACAAGCTCATTTTACAAGAACAACAAGATGTTCATGAATGAAGTTCGCTGGATTGAAAGCGCGCAGTTTTCTCTAGAGGAAGAAGATGTGCTCTTAGAATTTCATCTTACTGTAACATTCATCTCTGTTACGTTGTCCTTTTAATTTTATAACTATGGAAAGAAATGCGACTCAGATGTGGATGGGATAATTTCATTCAATTACTTCAATGCAGAGAGCTTTCTTCATCAAACATTCTTTTTAAAAAACTACATATGGATTTCAATGATTCCATTCTTTATTTTTCTTAGGTTTAACTGAGAAGCCTAGAAAGTAGATTGGGCTCGTGCTTTGTACGATTTCAAATATTAGTCTTTGGAAGAAAGAAGAGAAATATACTAGATGGCGGATTTGCCTTGCATTCATACTCACAAGGTTGAAACGCCTCCTCTTTTGCAGAGCTAAATTTGTACAATGAACATATTTTGGCTCTAAGAACCTGTACATCACTTCATTACGCAAATTACACATCCAGACTTATTACGAAGTCTTATCTCAAAAAATGTACTTTTACTTGCCAACAAACTTTTTGATTCTTCTTTGACGTTTGCCCTTTGCTGTTATGAAAAAGCACAAGCATGAAGGCGTTGTATCAATGCTTCACGTCCATTCTTGCGATATGATCTCACTCACGTCTTTTCACTAATTGTAATCTAATTCTACTCATATCGCTAAATGTAGAGCCGAGTCTAACAATCCAGCGATTCCTCAATTAAGTGTAGATCATTGTGTTGCAAATACTTTTGATACCTCTACAATACGAATGAGGTATTGATTTGATCGAAAGCGAAGTACTGGTAGATCAATGGTATGTGCTGAACTTCTGAACCTGACTCGTGGATGCTGATTTGTCGCATCACAAACTTTGCAATACAGTTGCTGTGCCTGCAACAAAGTACTGCAGTTATTTTTATTTCTTATCTTTCTGCTGTCTCTCTGCTTTTTTCATCAAAATTTTAGCAAGGAACAGAAGCTGTCAGTTCTCGAAGTAGATATATCAACAATTCAATTTTGCTATTGCGAAACAGCAACCGCGGTTAATACTCAGAGGGACATAATACATATGACCAGTGTGACGTAAAATTCTAGTTCCTCTCTCATGGACTGGCGTCAAAACAAGTTAACTTCAATCATAGCAAACGAAAAGGTAAGTGTTTTCGGTTCGTTTTTGTTCTTTCTCACACATTCTTGACACTTCTCTTCAATAATGAATTCTTGCGTCACCCTTTGCTATTTTTCGGTATGTATTAATGATTTTGTAGCTTCTCAAGTGAGCGCTGCACAAAAACAGAAAGGACTAATC